TTTCAAGATAGTACATGTACTTCAGAAGTTGAACTAGATTTTGATCATGCCTCTATTAAATAATTTACTCGGAAAAGAGGAAAATTTAGATAAAATAGGTGAATTACAGTCGCATTACAACTTATGCAGTTATCAAAGTGGGATCGGAACACAAAAAAAACGAGAAAAAAGTATTCGAGTGGTGTTTGAAATCAGCACCAAATTGGAATCGAAATCGAAACACAAAAAGACGAGAAAAAAGCATTTGGGTGGTGTTTGAAATCAGCAGAGGGCGGTATAATTTAATCTTAGCATTTAATGTTAACATAGCGATACCCATTTTTTATATGTGATTATATAAGGTGTAATTTATTAATGTTAATAATGTTAATAAAAATGTGATAGTAATTATAATCTTTTTGTGAATATACGAAAGTACATGTACAGTACGTAGCCTTATCGTTATTAAAATTTGACATACCGATACTTGATCAAAAAATTGTTATTTAAATGATCAAACAATTTGACTTAACGCGTTATTGAAATAATAATAAATATTTAATTGGACCTTGCACTTTCCATTTTCATTCCTTTTACTTCGCTACAAATATAAGATAATATTTCTGGTTGCAACGTAGCTTTATATACATTATAAAATTCTTTGAAGCATTTCATTTGAAATCCATTTGAGCAATTCCTTATTAAATTTTAAAATACGTATATTGAACTCAGATGCATCCCTTGTTTAACATTTGCATTTTGTGCAATGTCGATATTCTTATTTTTATCATAATTACATCATCATTGAAAGATTCAATTATTTTTTTGTATAAACTAATAGAAGTAAAACATTGTGATTTTAAATAAGTGTAATTTTGCTCCCATTAATTAAAAGTTGAACTGAATTGAGGCACATTATATTTTCAGCTCTTAGGGTGTATAAAAGGGCATGTTGTGCATGCGTTTACGTACATACCGATACGTGTTTACAAGCCACACATTTAAATGTACAAATGTACATGATAAAGTGGCAACGGTAAAGTTCCTTAGCAGTTTGTTTTCTGAAATAGAATCCAATACTTATAGGTAGTACGTACTCGTCCAACACAGGACTCTGCTCACCGAATGGTCGCCTGCCTGCCTGTTACTTTAAAGTAGAATAACTACACATTAGAACAGTCTGAATTCAACACAACTTTTTATTTACTTACTATTTTGTTGATTGCTTTGTAAATAATTCCAAGACTTCCTTTCACAAAATAGTTACCTATTAAATGGAATCCATTTAAAATATCACTTTTTGCTATGCTTTTACGTTTGGGTCTTGCCCAAGTTAAAGCTAAGTGATTCAGAACATTATTGTTTTTGGAATAAAAGCATAAAGATAAGACTAAATGGACAAGAAAGACATTAAACGATAAACTTCTGTTAAAATATAGTATTTAAAATGAAAGGATTACGACTTGAAGTACATGTACAATACAAATGGAACCTTAAAAATATCATTACAATCATACCTCCATATATGAAAATCCTCTCTAAAAGCAGATTTGTAAATTTTTGGAATAGTCGAAATTTAAGAAAAAATCTCTTTATAGGCACACACTTATAATGGAACTTTCATCATTTCAAAAACCACTAATGCGCACAAATGTATGATACATGCACTTGAAAAGATATGAACAAAGAAAGATTACGTATCGGTATTTACTAACAAAATGCCATTAATACATAGTTTTATTGTAATTGTAGCCGAATTCTCGGAATCCCTAATTCTTATAAGCACTTCATATAGAATATCATTTATCTAAAAGAATACCTGTGCTGAACATTTATCTAAAAAAAATCCGAAGATGTAAATATGAATCCGGTTTCGATAAAATTCTGCGTAAGATATCAATGGAAAGAATTCAAAATTTCGGAAAATAGTCGGGATAAACACCTATAACTAATATCAATAAAAATTTAAAAATAGTCGCATGGAAAACAACAAATTAAAAAATTAATACCATCTTCTATCGGCGAAGTGATAAATTTGACACCGTATTTCTTTGCTGTTTCTTCGATAATTCCGTTGAAATCATTGATATGAATAGAAAGAAGTCTCAAATGACCACGAGTAGCTTTTAGGAATTTAAACAAAGGAATCTTCGATATATTGTTATGATTCAGAGGTTTGTGAATTCTGAGAGAATAAATTGAGGATGGAAGTTTTGTCGCCAGAATATCAAAAGTGTCGTCTAGATTTCTCGAGTATACTTCCAGATGTTCAAGTTTTTTACAAGATTTTAATAGAGAGATAGTATTGTCCAAATTTAAATCTTGCGCACCAAGTACTCGAAGATTGCGACTATGTAAAAGGATGAACGGGAATATCTTTTTGATCTTCTCATCAAATCCAGAAAATTGCGTAAACGTTTCTTGCCTGAGCTGAAGATATTTAAGTTTGTGGCCGCTAGTTTCAATAACTTTCTTTATAAATTCAACGGGAAGTTCAGCAACTAATGATATCGTAATAGTCAAAAATTCTAGTTTTTTAAAATGTTGAGCAGTTTCAATCCATGATTGCTGCTCTATCGCTTTGCACTTAGTGAAATCTATGCAAAGTAGGTTTGCACAACTCTTTAAGCCTTCAATCACAATATTTTTCTTAAGCAAACTAAAGTCAATTCGGAAGAATTTGATTGCACATAATGTTCTTGATGAAGGGTGAAGGGCATTAACGACAACTTTGATATTAGTAGCAGTTAGCTGAAGCAGTTGGAGCCACTGCAACTCACTCTGAGCTTCAATCACATTTTTTAATCCAATTGCTGTCATTCTCGTCTCCTCGTTCATGGTATTTTCACTAAATGTACGTAAACCAGCAAGTGTGATTCCACGAATAGAGCGACAGAATTCAGCTAAATTATTAAAAATATTTAAAAGATTGGTATTTAATGTGATCCCAGAAACTCTTAGTTCTCGAAGATTCGATCCTATTCTTTCAATGTGTTCTTTAGGCGTATCAACCCACAATTCGCCTTCAAAAACTAAGTTATGATGAAATGAATGTATCGATTGCGCTTGATCTAGAAAGTGTGCACACAATGACTTTCTTAATGCTTCACGTTTTCTCATTTGTTTTTCGGTTGGAATACTCGATTTTTGTTGCAGCCATTCTACTGTCGCATTAGATACAGCAGTCATTTCATAGTGTCGTAAGAATGTTGCATAGTTGAATGTCGGCGTTCGGATGTTTCGAGGTCGACTGATCCCGTTGGCACGCAGATAATCCCATGTTTCTTTGTCGAAACTTCCTAGATAAACATTAACAATTTTTGTCGATCGTTTTTGCTTTTCTTCTCGATCGATACGTGGTTTGTTAAGTATCTTAGATAACGGCGCATCCCAGAGTATCGGCACTATTTCACGGCAACATTGTCGATCAACCAACAAACATTTGAATAATGTTGCGTTATCGAGGTTTTTAAATATTTCTTGGCGAATTTCCGAGGGTAAGAGTTTAAGCATCGATTTGTTTTCCATTTAACTCTGTTCAATAGATAATTAAATTTTCTTTCTACTTTGATAAATATATAATTTTTGATTATTACCTGGGTTTTTCTTCGAGACGATGGCAATAGAAAACAACTTTTGCACTACCTGCTTTCATTTAGCCTTAATAAATGTAGATCTACGCTTTACCGTTACATTTTTGTGCTTGGCTGAAATTAATTGGAGGCCTTTTTTAGCGTTAGCGTTAGTGATACCGATAACGATAACATTGAATATCCAAACAGATAATAACGATAAATATCCAAAAAAAGCATTTACAGAAAATAATTTGACAACAGATTACGTATTCCAGTCGTTTTTATGAAACTGAGTGATTTAAGTCAAATTTTATTTTTTTTTCCAAGTTCACTGTGAGATTTAAATCGCTCAGCTTCACAAAAACGACTGTTGTCAAATTATTTTTTAAATGAATACTCGTGGAAATAAAAATTCTATAATTTTTTTTCCGTGTTCCATTTCTTGCGTGAGCCACAAACTCCATACGTACTCAAGTAACAAAAACAACACAATTACACACAAATGGATGAACCAATGAACATTAACGTTAACCATTTGTCCATGGACAAGCCAATGAACAAAATATATTTCAAAACATCTAAAAAAAATTTGTAACATCCACTAATGCTATCGCTATGGTTTATGGACATTATCCATTGTCAACACGATAATTCGGTTACCAGTCATTTATAAACACCGATGTGACACGAGGACTGAGAAATATTTCACCGCAGAAACATTATACGTACGTACGTATTAAACTGGACCTATCATAGGTTAAATTTATGTCCGACTCTATTGAAAATAGGAAAATAGGTCATGTACAATCATTTGATGAATCTAGGTTTATCCATAAAGATCTTAGCGTTAGGGAAAGAAAAACAAGTCAAGACAATCCAAAAGTGGATTTTTAATGTGTAGTGGTAGTCCTATTTTGATCGCTTTTTTTATCGTTCTGGTGACACTAACACTAATAATAGATCATGACCAAAAAACTAAACCATATACGTAATCGATATTGATATACGTACATATACGTACATATACGTACATAGAAAACTTGTTCCAACGAAACTCACGAATGTGTGAGCAATTTGATTGACTTTGAAAAAATGGGCTCTATTTTGATTTCTTTGTCTCTTAGAGATCTGCTGAATATTCTAATCCTCGTGGTTCTTTCTTACATTGCGAAATTTTATTTTGCTTATTTTACGCGAGATAATCCTCTTCCAGGACCATTTCCACTTCCACTAATCGGATCATTATACACTTATCCAGGCGACGTCGCCCTATGGGGTGTAGAGCTACACAAAAAATATGGAGAACTTTTCGAAGTTTGGTTCGGTGCACAACGCCAGATATTTTTGAACGGTCCTAAACAACTTGAAAAAATGCTCCCACAAAATCCCAAAAATAATTTTATCATACACACGGTAGGAAATAAAGGTTTAGACAAATATGGTGTAATGAATAAAGGAATAGTATTCAATCTCAACTTTGAGGAATGGAGACAGATTCGTAAAAATTTGGATCAGACATTGATGTCATATAGATTCCAGAAAGAAAACATTGTCATGATTCAAAAATTATTTGGTGAGATGACTGAATATTGGCGGGATCTCGGTGAAAATGCACCAGTTGATCTATCAATATGGATTAATCGATTGTTCTCGGATTATATTTTCCTGACAGCCACTGGCATGTCATGTCATTTCTTAACCCAAGAGTTTAATAACCAATGTTCGGGTGCTCAAAAGTTGTCGGTTCAACAAGAGGCAATAGAGTTTTCAACTTCGATTACGAAGCAAAGTCAAACGCACAGAGAAGCTATTCAATTTTTTATTTTGGCTCCGGAATTTGTTTGGCGTTTTGCTTTAAGAGGAATAACTAATAAATATTTGGAAAATCGAGTAAAATTTTATCAGCAACTTGACTCGATAATAGAAAAGCGTCTAGAACAAATAGCAAATGGAAATATTTTAAAATATGATGCTCTTGATTTAATGATTCAAACAGAAATTGATCATCAGAACACATTAGGAACCGAAAGCAAATTGCCGAATCGATCGATAAATGTTGCTAATATTCGTGAAGCGTTGGTAACCGTTATTAATGGCTCAATTGAAACGGTCCGTATTAATATTCACTTAGTTATTAATTTTACTTTCTATAATATCTGCACACTTACTTAAAACACTTTTAATTTAGACCGCTAATGCTTTTTGCTTTATTGTGGAATATATTGGCCGAAATCCGAATGTGGAAAAAAATCTTCTTGAAGAATTGTCCGCTGTACATGGCACAGATCCAAATAGTCCAATAGAGTTTGCAAAACTGGCCAAAATGAAATACACTGAAGCTGTAATTTACGAAAGTAAGTATATTGTCATTTAATATTATTGGATTTCAAAAATGAATAGATGATTCACTTTTTTTTCAGCAATGCGAATTACTAGTTTTACTGCAATGAACAATCGGAGCAACACCCATGCTGATAAAATTGGCAATCTTGTATGGAAATCTGGAACACAATTCATTATCAATTCGGCAGCAATCTGTCATGATCCGAAATTATGGCATGATCCCGAAAAATTTAACCCTGAACGCTTTTTATTAAACCCCAGTGCAAAAGACACATTTTTTGTATTTGGACTCGGACCAAGGACATGTCCTGGTAAACATATTGCTATAGCGAATATCAAAGTCCTTGTGGCGCTGCTTTATCGCAAGTATTCCTTAGAATTGTTGGATAAGGATTTACCAATAAAGCAGAAATTCGTGTTAATTAATAATTGTAAAGGGGCTAAAGTAATTCTTCAGAAAATTTAACTTTTCGTTATATTTAAAACACACTTGTAGTTTCATTGCTAAAAAAGGTCAAATATATTAGCATTTATTTTATTACCATTTTCTATAGAATAGCTTTGAAATTAGTTATATAAATTAGCGGATTTTTCAAAAATTCTTTTTCGATCATTTCAAGTGCCGTTTATTTTCAATCAAAATACCTGTATGGAAAGAACATCATCGCCAAGCAAGCAAATACATGTATTATCATTTTATTTTAGAAAAGCCAAATTCGCGCAACTTTCGTTTTGGTGACGCGTGCATACAAGGTGTTTTGTATATCTATGGTACTTGGCAAGTGGATGCACTGATGAAGATAGTGCAAATCTGTACTGTCATCTCGCTCTTTTAAAAATAGTTAATATTATTTGATAAATCTGCGTTATTAGTATTCAATTTCTAATTCACCTTTCAGTCACTTGCTCTTTTCTTTGCTACCAAAACGTCTTGTATATAATCTTAAACACAATAGCGATATATTGTGCACGAATCCGTCGAGTACAATTATAACAATAATTATATATACAATTTTTTTTGGCATCGACATCGTGTTAGACTTAGGGCTTTTCTATTTATTCAAGTGCATTATTGTAGGATTGAATTTCACCGCCGTCAGATTCGATTGAATGCATGTATTTTTGTTTTAAATCAAAGAATGTCTGCAAAGTGTGGTGGGCAAGTGAAAATAATTATTAAGCAAATCTGTGGATAAAAGATAAAAGAAAATGAGTAAAAGAAGAGAATTTATTTTAAAATTAAACATTTTATAATTATTTTCAATTCTTGTCGAGTTCTTTTAAAACTTTTCATACATGATTATCATTCGTTTTCGTCACATCATCAGTGTTTAAAATTCATTTAAAAATTAATTTGCGCAAAATTTATATGCGCATGATATAATATCAATGCCTCATATTGAATTTAAGATTTAAGTATAAATTTTTTTACTTGCGCAACCAGTCTCCAATCTGCGATGTGCAGGTTGCGCAGGTCAATTTTAAACGTTGCGTCACATGATAATGATTAAAGGTTAACATTAATTATAGGGTTAAGGCATAATTAGAGTGAGTTATGTTATACGAAAAATTGCCTCTCCAACTTTTTTATTAGTGCTCCAAATTATATATAGGTATCTGTTTCTCGCATTTTTCGTTTTCCGGGCTGATCAAACATTACATATCCATCCTTAGCACAGATTTTAGACGTGTAACGATAACGATAATAATTTGTTCTTTTGATATCAACGTTAACTTAACCGGTTCCAAAAGAAAAATTTCTCGACATAACTTTATATCCTCAGAGATCAGACCTTCTGCACCATTTTACTTTCACTACATATCTATCAAATAATCAAAAAATTTTAGAAAGACTTATTATATATAACAGATTGCTAAAAGGATTTTTGAGTTACTCTGTCTTTTAATCTGAATTATATACGTGTACAATTGGTGGTGTTTTGACTAAAACTAACTCAAAATTAATTATCCTAATCTAAAACAGCTCAGGTTATCTATTGCTAGAATTAACAATTGAAAAACTCAGCATAATCTAAGGAATAGTGAGCAGATATCGGTTTAATAAATAAAAAACTTATTTTGTGATAGAAGATAAATTTTACAAAATTGTTATTTAAATTAATAGCTAAGAAAAGCAAAATGGCAAGATAAAAAAGTTCAAGTTTACACGAGATTCTGATGATAATTGCATAGGTTCACAAATCTGTTAATTTGAAGTTGGTTTATTAATTTAATTTTTTTTCAAAATGTTTAAAGAGAACTTTGATGGAATGTTGCATAGATTGTACAAACCTAAAAACAAATTTCTATTTTGCTTGTTACTAAAAAAAATATCCGCGATATTCAAAGAATGCCACAGAATTGGAATTGAGCGATGAGCCAAATTTTCCTATGAAGCAACTTAAAAAATTAATTGAGAGTATGTTAAAGAGAGCGCCATTTATCAGGTGATTTTTGTTTATTATAGAGACATTATACACCCCCATCTGATGATGATAAACAAAACCACCCTAAAGAATCACCTGATAAATGGCGCTTTCCTAAATTAACTGTGTCTTTAGTAATGGAACTAATACTAAATTTTATTTTTATTCTAAAAATTTTCTAGATCGATCTTCAAAAAAAATTTAATTATTCAATAATTACATTGTTAGAGTACAAAAAGTATGATATCGGATCAAAATTTTATACATGTAGTCACAAATAACCTCAATGTTAATCAGATCATACTCCAATTCGAATTGATAAACAAAATCTAAGATAAAACTACGTAACCATAATTATTTTTCATTTCAGCTGACCTAGTAAGACATTCAAAAGCTTTTCTTACATTTCTAATATGCATCTTCCAAATAAAGACCATTCATCAGTATTTGGAAAAGCATAATCTGCTGCTTTTAAAAACCATATTTTCATCTCTATTATATCTATTATATTTCCTTATTATAAGAAACACCAAATCTATTAGAGTTAGAAATAGCTTACAGTGAGGAACAGTATAAGACATCCATTATTAGATGACGCCTTAAAAAGGAAAGATAATATAAAAAATAATTTAACAAAATGATTAAGTTATAATTTGGTTAATCTTTTGAGATATAATTTTGCGAAATTACAATTTTGGCGTTTAAAGAGTTCCGATTGGTCATGTATAAGATCTACAATTCAAAATTGGCGTCATGGCGCAGTATTGAATGTCTTATTAGGGTTGTTAATGAAGCAGCAAGCACCGGATTACTATATAAATTTCTAAATTCACTCCGCTCCCGAACCATAATTATACGTACGTACAGTGCTCAACATATATAATGAGAAAAATATGCCTTTTTTTATTTTTGCATTATAAAAACTGCTTGAAAATATATAAAAATTTACAAATATATACTTTAATATATTGCGAGCAGGTTTCTTAAGACTACTTAATAACATATCTTATTTCTATTATTCTCAAATATTTGAACTTAATTTTGATATCAAAAGTATATATATTTAAATTTTATATTTTTCGATCAATTTTTATGATGTAATAAAAATACTACCGTTTAAATTAATTGACTTAGTGTCATTTATAGTGTACTATTAGGACTTGATCAGATAATTACAATAAGTTATTTTATAAGTAGTCTTAAGTAAACTTGATCGCAATATATGAAACCGTATATCTGCAAATTTTCATATATTATCGAATTTTTTCATAACAAATTAAGGAAAAACAGCATTCTCATTATATATGGCAAGCACTGTACGTATGTAGATGCATAACGATAAGTGTTACATTTGTTTATCTAAATTTTAAAATTTACAGTTAAATGTTTATTTGATATTTATTTCTTTATTAGGCTAAAACGAGATTATAATTCAAGTGCCGTATTTCACTGCATAAAATTTAAACCTTAATTTTTTTTTAGTAAAACCAATTATTTTGCCTGCAAAATGAATAAAACAAAAAATTTGGTTAAATTTAGTTTAAATTTTCTACAGGAGAGGGCACTTATGCGGTAAAATACGGTACATTTGGTAAAGCTCCTAAAATTGTTGCTTTGCGCAAATAACAAGGGTTCTTCTATTCGAAAATCCTATTTTTAGTTTTTTATGATAAAATATCCCGTACTAAATTAAACGAATTTCGACTGCTTGATATTTACCCAGTGCAGAGAAATATTTGATTTATTCCAATTTTGCCGCATATATTACATGCATATAATTATAATAAGTTAACTATAAAATATCAATTTTGTCTCATTGTAAATTCGGCAATGTTAAAAATATAAAATATTCTTTCAAGATTAAGACATTCACAAAAATAAGCATTAACTTATTTTACTCCAAATTATTGAAATTCCAAAACATAGTTATTTACTCCCAAAAATAAGCACTTCCCTCGAAATCTGACTCGAAATATGTTATAAAAGCCGTGCTAATTACAAATCCCACGAGTTAGCGTTTACAATTATAAATTTATTATTTCTAATCTCTTTACCTTTTCTTGTAAAGCCAAGCTTTTTCTAATGTTTGAAGTGAATTTGTATCTTCACTTGCATGAAAACCGTTTCTTGTGAAATTGTTTCAAGCTCAATACAGTTTATGTAATTACTACGGAATTTTTATATATCAATGACATAGCATCAAGTTTTTGACTACTATGGTGCATAAAATCTAAAGTCATCAAACGTTTGTATTTTATAAAATGTATAAACTTCTTTACTAAGAAGTA